AAGAGACAGGACCAACTGAGCAGCGCGGCGTTGTTTCGTTCGACGTTCGGTTGTTATTGAAAGCGGCTCACACCTTCCTCCTTTCTCAAATGTGTCTGACCGCATTCACGGCCATACCGGCATGTCTCTGCCCGCAAACAGTCCATGCGTGGACCAACTGAGCAGCGCGGCGTTGTTTCGTTCGACGTTCGGTCTATGTTATTGAAAGCGACTCACACCTTCCTCCTAAGGGCGTACTCGCACTAGCAGTTCTCAAATGTGTCTGACCGCATTCACGGCCATACCGGCATGTCTCTGCCCGCAATTCCGTCCAGAAACACGTAAAAAAGTCGGTATATTTGAGTATGCCCTAGGTATCGACGAAAGTGACTGTCGAGAGTTCTGTGCTCGACTCAGGGCCAGCAGATGTGCAAAATGAGAATGGATCTTCCGCTAGAACATGGAAAGATACACAGGCATAATTTTTGTCTTTTGTGCATCTGTTTAGTCGTGGAACGAGGCTTTCAGTCTCTGTAACGCAGAGAGAGAGGGCCTTATCCACTCTGCGCTGCTTTTGATCTATACCCGTCTTCACCCAAATAGAACGCCCGATCGGTATTGCTGGATTTGGCCCAACTTCCGATCCAGGCACAGGTGAAATGACCGGGCGTTCTATTCGGGTGAAGACGGTAGTGGCACGTCCGTTTGGATGACCGCAGGCATGGCCGTTAACATGTCCGTTAGCATAGAGTCGTGTCTCGTGTTGCACTGTATAGGTGTCTCGCGCCACTACTCTCGACGTGCACACGAGATAAACCAGGACTGTTTTATAACAGTGATTGAACATTGCATGGTAAGCTAGATGACAACCTGCAGCTTAATTAAAAAAAAAAAAAAAAAGATGACCAACCTACACATACGCTCGCCCGCACGCACACACACACACACACACACACTTTCTGGCAGCCGGCTCTACCTCCCAGCAGCGTGTCAGCAGATACTATCAATGCATAGATTCATGTGCTCGGCTAGTTTACTTCGACACACGTATCACAAGCAGTCTTCTACTCCCCCATTCAACCTATTTGCCCACGGTAAAAGGTGAAAAAAAAGGCAAACCCATCTGCGAATTCACCCCTCAATCTATCTATTCAGTCATTCACTCAATCTATCTATCCAGTCATTCACTCGATCTGTCTATTCAGTCATTCCCTCATCCACCTTGTTTCAATTGACAGATCACCCACCCACCTGCACTATGCATCCATCAATCCACACAAGCACACATCCATCTGCCCATACCTACACATCCATCTGCCCATACCTTAGATCAAGCAGTCGTTTTGAACACAAGAGTGAGAAAATGACGAAGTGGTGGAGTAGTCGCCGCCTCGTGGAAGAACGGCGAGGCCGCAGGCAAATGCTTACTAGCCTGTACCAGGTCGTGTTGAGGCTCTCTGGTCATCTGATTGGGTCCTTGTAATCCGGGGGGGTGGGGTGGGGGGTGGGGGGGGGAAAGGGGCACTAAGCACTGCAACCGGTCCTGCTTGGGGGGGGGGCAATGCCTCTCCCTTGCCGGATATCCCTTGGGCTTTGCCCATCTCCGTGGTAAGGAAGCACCCACCACTGCACCCAACAGCATGCCACATAACAACACAACACGAAGTATGGAAAGCAATTGCCACCATCCGCGGAAGAGACCTGCATATCTAGAAAAAAAATTAAAATAATCACTATCGTCCGAGTAAAAGAACCCCCCAGTATAACAAGTATACTACAGTGACGTGCACGACTCCTCGTCACCAGTAAAACAATATCGCAAGACAGTCTCGTAAGCTGCCTTGCCCGCACAAGGCTCTCTCACTGCGGCCATCAGCGCACGTGAACACCTTCGGGATCCTATTGCCTATCATGTACCTGGCCATTTTGCCAGTTAGGTTCGTTCCCGCATAGGATGCAGTAAATAATTTTACAATTTTTTCCAAAAGCCGGGTCCGGTCAATTCATCCACAAAGTAAATGACATCCGATATGCAATGATAGACTCCACGAAAGAGAGAGAGGGAGGGAGATGGAGGGAGAGGGAGGAAGAGCGAGGACAGATGGGCACAGAGACAGAGACGGAGACAGAGACAGAGATTGAGACACAGACAAACACATCTTTTATTTATTTATTTCTGAACTAAGCTTTTATTCTTCCGTCGAATTCACCCATCCTCTTTTAACGTTTTCATTGCACTCACTTTCAACATTCACACTTCCTTGTCTCTCTCGCGCTCAAATGCGCACCCAGAGATACACTAGTACACTATTTATTGGTTCTTTTCTACTTTGAGATCGTCCTTGCCACATGCATTCCCTTCTTCCAGCCATCAATTGTTTTGACAAATTAGTGTTTGCGAGTTCATTCGATTCCCTGCCTACTTGCTTACCCCCGCCTCTCCACTCCATCTTGCGATTTGCCGTTCACCTCCCTTTCAGCCACGATCACTCGTTCTCTCTCTCTCTCTCTCTCTCTCTCTCTCTCTGTGTATCTTTGTGCGTATGTGCGTGCATGTGTGTGTGTGCGTGTTCGTGTGTGTATCTGTGTTTGCGTCTGTCGATCAGCTTGACTAATTTGTAGAGACACAGTGTTTTCTCTTTCTGTGTGTGTGTGGGTGTGGGTGTGTGTGGGTGTGTGGGTGGGTGGGTGGGGGGGGGGG